ATTATTTATTATTATATTTATAGCCCGTATTATAATTAAAAATAATAACACTTTATAAAATTAATCTACTTAAATAAGTATTATAAATCCTTAACTTTATTTATAAACTATTATTAATAAATTATTACTAGCTTTTTAAGTAATAACTAGCTTTTCTATCCCGTTATTAATAACTTTTATAACTACTATAACTATTTATTTAATTATATTAATATTTTTATACGTTACTACTACGCGCTATTATATAATAAAAAAGGCTAAATCGTTAACTAATAAAATAAGAGTATTCGACCTATTTAAATCCTTTCGAGCCTCTAGTTAAAAAGTAGTAATTATAGTAGTATTATTACTTATAATATATTTAATATATTAACTACTTACTATTATAACGAATTAAGTAATAGATCCCTTATTAAGTAGTTATTTAACTAATTACGTAATTTTATAAAATATTAATACCGTTTCTAACATAACGACGCGGGCTATATTACGAGCTTATTTATTATACTTATTACCGCAATTTCCCTATTTTAATAATATCTAAATATTCTATTAATAAATTCTATATATAAAACTAATTAATTTAATATACCGCTATTTAATATTTATAGAGCTACGAATAATAGTTATACTTTCTAAGTTACAAACTACTTTTTATTTAATAAAAAAAAACTAATTACTATTAAGCTATTAACTAGCTATTAGTATTACTCCGGGCCTATAATATTCCCCTTTTATAAATTACGTATATAAATTATAAAATTACTCTACTTAACGCCCTTAACAATAATACCTAATTTAAAATAATACTATACGTACTTTATTACTAATACGTTAACCTTAATATATTAATTAAAACTTAGTATTACTTCGGCCCGGTTATAAAGGATAAAACTAATATAATTATATATAACCCTCGCTTTTAATAATTCTTTATAAATTAAAGTAATCTCCTCTATAATAAATTAATAATTATATACTATAACTAATTATTTACATTTAAAACTACTAAGTACTTTATAGTAGTAATTAATTACGTTATTAATACTTAGCTTAAGCCGTAATATAAGAAAATCGTACTTACTTAAATTAACTAAATTAAGTACTTCGGTTATTTAATTACGTTAATTATTAAATTTTTATATATAAATATTAAAGTATAAATTTATTATTATATAAATAACTTTAAAGCCGTATTTAATAAATTAATTATTTTTTAAATAGGTTAAGTAGCTATAATTAATACTTACTAAACCCGTTACTAAGCTAAAATATTAAATATTATTATAGGATTATTTTAGAAAAAAGTATGTACGTATATATATTATAATACCCTTAGGTACTTTTTATAAGAACTCTATACGCTAAGTAAATAACTAAATTTAAATTTATATAAAAAGCCGTTAAGAAAGTACGTACCCTATTTAATTTAAACTACTTATAAGCTACTTTATTACTACGTTTTTTAGTAATATATTAAGAATAGTACCCTAATATTACTAAAAAAGATCTATTTATACTAATTTTAATAATACTTAGAGCTTATTATTAATAATAATACTTCTACCCCCCTACTTAATCTCCTATAAGTCCGAAGTAAGGGTTACTTATAGGGCTTTATAATAGGTATTATAATAGTTATAGCGGGTACTACAACGCTTAAATTAAAAAAGTTAGTAGTTAATCTAAGTACTTCTTTTAAATAAGAGCCCTCTATATTTAAATATAAAAAAGTTATTAAATATATAAAAATAGTACTCGTATTAGTATTATTATTATTAATAATACTTTTAATACTAAGTAAGGCTACTTCTACTTAACGAGGCCTTAAAATTATATACGATTTTAATATATATAAGCTTAATATAAAAATATAGCGGGGGTATTAGCGGGCTATTATTAACGTAGTAATTAATATAATTAATAATAATATAATTAATTTTATGAGGGCTCTTTAATTATTAATACTTATAAAGTCGTAATCTTAATTAATTAGTAATCTTATATAATTAAACGTATTATAAAATCTAGTTAACGAGGATTATTCTTATAATATTAATTTTATAATAAAAAATAAAATAAATAGACTTATTAATAAGTATAAAGCTAAAATAGAGTACGAGGTTAAAATAAAAAAAATTACTAAATTACGGGCTATAGGCTATATAAAGTAATTAATAATTAATTAAGCTAATTTATTAATTACTATACTTTTTATTAAAATAATTTAATTAATTATAAATTAATTAACGGCCTTTAATTAGCTTAATCCGTTCGAATACTAACTATATAAAGCTTAGCTTATATATATACTTAAGACTAGTAGTTATATAGCGGCCGTAGCTATAATTAGTAGTAGAATAGCGGCAGGTAGTAGCAGGATATTATCGCCCTACATCAAGAAGTTCACGTATTTCTCCATGTTATACTGAAGTTTTTACCAGAATGGCGTTGCAGATTATTCTTGTAGTATATTGAGCGGTAAATGCTGCCCTCGATTAACGGGCGTGGTTCTCGCGACAGTTTTATAGACGATATATACTAAGTTAGACCTGGCGGTGTATGCGTGCATCCGCGTAAAGAGTGGGCGTATATGAATGCGCCGGAGGGAACTACTCAGCTCGCCAAAAAGTTGTCATGATGAGATTGAACCGGATGGTTTTTCTGGAGCTTATTCAGACGACAAATCGTTAGGCCACGTAGTATTTGGCACTGATCGACAAATTTTGAGACGACTGACTCTGTTAATCTAATTATCTTTTAGTGCTACAATGTACGGAGTACTCCGTACAAAGTTACTGTCTGGAACCGAATGCGAGCAGTACGGCTGGCATATTCAGCACAGACAAAGCTGCCATTCTGTTACGTGCTTTCTTACATGCTCTCACCGAGTATATATATATTTCCTCGCTGCCCTTCGCTTTTCGACTTTCTAGGAAGTCGTTTCCTGCTGTGCTCGTAAGTTTCCGGCGAATTGCCGGACGTGTAATACCTTCACCTTTTCAGCGACCAAAACGAAATCAGCGAACGAGTTAAATTGAGACCGGACACATCGTACAGACAATTGATGTCAATTCTGTCCATCGATGATGATGTTAAACCCATTCGAATCATCAAGCAAACATCGAGACTTCTGCAAACTTACGGCTCTAGAAGACTAAATACTGACCGATCTTGACCTTGGTAACGCCTCACACCGGCAATGTCGGGTCCCGGGAGGGCAGAAGAGGGTCCTCGCGCCGCCACAGGACCGAAAGCCGGGGCGGGCCGGCAAAGGCGGCACATCGGCGCCGCAAGCACGTGGTGGGCAACATGGCACTGGATTGGCCGCAGAGAAAAAGGTCGCGCAACGGCAATACGCAGAGATTTTACCATGATACATCCTAGTGCTTGTGAGTTGAGAAATGATGTTTGTATGTACGGAGCAACCCGACCACGTGCTCTCATGCAGATGCTTGAGCCGCGCAATTTGGTAAAGTTTTCCTCGAATGACGGCAGTTCGGCGACCTGCTGTCCAAGACTCAATAGATCTAGCCTGGAGTCTTTGTAATATCGGACTTACTGTCCACCTCTTCGGCTATCCTTCGACGATTTATGGATTCCATGTCGTAGGTTTTGCGAAGTAATCGGCCTGGTCTCGGTTGCTAACACTTTGAAGAAGCAGCACGTGTTGAAAGTTGTCAACGTATTCGCTCGTAGGTTTTCATGTGTCACAGGTCAGCATACAGTGCTCGAGGCAAACCACAACTACGCTAACAATTTCCCCCAACGTACCTTAGCTCAGCAACAACAAGGTCGCATGGAAAAGCCTTGGCAGCAGGTGGGAGAGCGCCAAGTGAAGTGAGCCTCTTAGGGCTGCCGAGAAGCGCTAGACCGCTTGGAAAAAGCTTAGCGATGCATCCTTTTCTCATCGAATCACAATTGGCTGTTGTAGGCAATAAGACACGCGACCACCGATTCTCTCTGGCTTACGGTGCTTCTTCTCATCGCAGCGTCATCTGTGCCACCTGTTCATCAACCTGTGGAAAGCGGGAGACGAGTCGAGAAACACATGAACTACTGCAGCTCTGCACGAACCAACAGGTCGCCTAGCGGATGGGTAACATCGGGTTCCCACACTCCCTCCACGTCCCCCTCCACTCCTCTCTCCCCATGCTTTGGTTCTTCAGGATTCCTCCCCGTGTTCCCCAGGTGAGCGGCGTATGGTGTGTTGCCCGCGCCCAGACCGAAAAGTCCCAATGGGTGTATGTACTCCGTAGGGAATCGCCAAACTCCTCCCCCTCTTGCCGCATAACCGTGCCTTATCAGCATACAACCCGGTATCTGCCCGCAAATGTTATCTGGTGTGGATTCGTTCTCCCTCGAAAGAAAACCAACAGACCACTTGTCTGCCTCTAAAGAATCGTTTTGGGAGCCGTGGGTGACTCGTGAGAGAGGGGAGAGGGACCCATAGAATCCTTTCGATTATGTTGCATCGGGGCTGGCTACCTATTATTGGGTGAACCCGGGTCCCGTCCGCCGGGGAACAAGGTAGGGTGGGACGGGACACCCGAGGCATTCCCAAGGTTTATCACTCTCTTTTTTGTCTGTCACAAATACTTACTCACCATAGAACGAAAGCAACCAACAGCAGAGCTGCTTCCGAGGGCGTGTGGTAAGTGGGGGGAAGAAGAGACACCGCAAAGCAACATGAGAGAAGAGAGGCCCCTCTGGTTGGCAGATTGTGCTGTGGCTGGCCCGACGGGCTTGTGATCGTCCGAATAAATACCATGTTGATTTCCCCTTGCGCTTCTTGACTCGTCGCGCCTATTCTTTTTAACCTTTGCGCGCCGCTTCGCACAACCTCTCGCCTCTCCCCCCCTCGCGCACGCGCACAATCCTGTCTGTGCCGTCATCTTCTCGATTGTTCGCTTCCTTCTGTCGCAGTGTCGTAGGGCCTTTCTCCCTTCGACATACTGAGCGCGGCTTTGAGCACTTACACGAGAAAAAGAGCCGCAACAATGCTTAACTTCCGAAGAAAGAAGTCGGCAGAGTCCGAGGCAACGGCGCAAGAGGCCGTCGCCGTCGACGATGCGCCCCGCCAACCGTTCCGGAAGGCCATTGTGCCCGTCATCGCCTGCGGTGCCGGTCTCTTCTCCGACGGTTACATCAACAACGTGAGCGCAACCGCTTTCGGCATAACATCTCTCAGGAACTGTCATTGACGTGGGGCATAGGTCATCGGATCCGTCACCACGATCCTCGCACTGCAGTACGGCGACCTCTATAAGAACTCCAACGCCAAGAAGTACGTTGGCGACATCGCATTTGCTGGCACCGTCGTTGGACAACTCGCGTTCGGCTGGCTCGCTGACCATTGGTCGCGAACCAACTCGCTGCTCGTGTCGACCGTTATCCTGCTCGTCTTCACTGCGCTCGCCGCCGGATCCTATTACAAGGGTGACGATATTGGCATGTTCAACATCCTGGCCGCATGGCGATTCTTTGTAAGTCTGAACCAGACTGGCCCTCCTTGCTTCGTTGTCAAATCTGGCTCGAAGTGCTCGGGACAAGCGCATGGGCTCAGAAGAAAGTGCAATTGTTAACGTCATCGCGATGACATTTAGGTCGGTATCGGCATTGGAGGAGAGTACCCCGCGGGTAGCGTCGGCGCAGCAGAGTCCACCGGCGAGCTAAAGTCGGGTTCGAGAAACTTATGGTTCATTATGTTCACAAACACCATGATTGATTGGGTTCGTACCTCGCCATCTTCTTACTGTTAATTGCATGTTTGCTAACATTGTGAACTAGGGTTTCGTCATTGGCGGTTCGTTCCTCAGACTCTTGATCTTGATGTTGGCGATACTGATACTAGAGCATAGCATTCGTGCCATACGTCGTCGCAGCCGCTTGCCACAATGGTCACTACAGCACCATCTGGCGCACCAGCTTGGGCATCGGCGTCGTATTCCCCATGTTCCTCTTCGCCCTCCGTCTCTTCGTCAAGGAGCCCGAAGCATCGACCAAGAACTCAATGCGCTACGCGAAGACGCCCTACCATCTCTCACTCAAGTTTTACGGATGGCGCCTCTTCGTCGTCAGCTTGATCTGGTTCATCTATGATGTAAGTCATGTTGAAGCTGTGGGCACTATGATGAACCACACACACTAATTTCCGACATCAGTTCTCCGCTTACTCCTTCGGTATCTACTCCTCAACAATCTTGAGCAACCTGTATGGAGATACGGCCCCGCTCACCACCGTCTTCGGCTGGAACACGGTCATCAACCTGTTCTACATCCCCGGTACCATGCTTGGCGCCCCGGCCTCGGACTGGCTTGGTCCTCGCTACGCCCTCGCCCTCGGTGTCTTCCTGCAGGCCGTCGTCGGCTTCATCATGGCCGGCGACTATTTCAACTTATCGCAGCCCGGCATGGTCGGCGGCTTTGTCGTCGTCTACGGCATCTTTTTGGCGCTCGGCGAGTTCGGTCCCGGTAACAACATCGGTCTGCTTGCCGCAAAAACTTGTGCGACGGGCATTCGCGGCAAGTACTATGGTGTCGCTGCTGCCATTGGCAAGATTGGCGCTTTCGTCGGTACATGGGGTAAGTTACACATGCCTGTTGTAACAAAGGTTAAAGAGATTATTTGGCTAACAAGGTCAATCTAGTTTTCCCGTACATCCAAGCAGCCGCCGGTGACAACGCCGTCGCCTCTGCCCAATACCCCTTCTGGGTATCCTCCTCGCTTTGCGTCTTGTCCGCCGCCCTCGCGATTTTCTGCCTGCCGCACATCGGCCAAGACACTATTGCACTCGAGGACGCGCGCTACCGCGCTTACTTGGAAGCAAACGGCTACGACACCCGCCAGCTCGGCATGAAGAGGGGCGAGAGTTTCGAGAACACCGATGCTGAGATTCCCGCTGAGGGCCTGACTGAGACTACCAAGGGCGAGAAGGTGGCGGCTTAGAGGCACCCCAATCCGAACTCAAATGCTGTTTACCTGGAGATGCACGTATGGATTTTGCTATTGTATGGTAGCTGGCGAGTGAAGATACCATGGTGATGAGTGCATGTGGATATATGTCGGATGGGGCAAGACCTGAAGAGCCGCGATGATACCACTTGCGAATTAAACCTGTCCATATATGTAATATCTATTGAATAATGTCAATCCTATCGCCTGAGCCGTTCTGCCGCCCATGAAGCCGCCTTCTCCAATGTACTGGGATACTTGCTTCCGTCATCCTCGAGCCTGTTGGTAACGAGATCCATCGAGTGAAGCTCTACCCGCCGTGTCTTGGCATAGACTTTGTAGCTGAAAATGTTGGCCAAATAGATGGCAACGCCGATGTAGGAGGTCATGAAAGTGGATACTGTGAACTTAGGGATAAAGGCATTGTAACCTGTCATTAGTGTCAGAAAGATCGCGCAATTAATCTTCGTGTAATCAACTAAGAAGGCGTGGACTTACCATTAAACAGGACAACCAGTACCGTCACAAATAGAGCAAAGTATGAGCCGTACGGCTGCAACGGCCCACGATACGGCATCAGACTCCTCGGGATACCCTGCGCTTGCATACCTCTGGTGAAGCAAATGTAACTGGTCAAGACGCTCACCCAGTTGAGGGTGCCAAATACCGTGACCAAGCTGACGAGATACCCGAACACCTGGGACGAACTCTTGGCGGCATTCATGTAAGCCAGCGCCGCAAAGACGCTCGTAGCCGCGACTCCGTAAAGCGGAACGCCCTTTCCAGACGTCCTCATAAATAGCCCTGGCGCCTGGCCATCCCGCGCTAGGCCAAAGAGCGTACGAGACCCAATGTAAATATCCGAGTTGGCAGCGCTCAGGACGAAGACAAGCAGACACCCGTTGACTACGTGTGGAAACACTGGGATGTTGGCAATCTGCACTGCAACAACAAACGGACTCGCCGCCGCGCCGGTACTCTTCTTCGTGCCACCGATGAGCATGTCATTGGTATACGGCACCGACATCCCCAGCACCAGCGCACCCAAGACGTAAAAGAACACGATGCGCCACAACGTCTGGCGCACGGCCTTGCGGATCGTCCGGCGCGGGTTGGGCGCTTCGCCAAAGGCCACGCCGACGACTTCGGTGCCGGTGTAAGCGAAGCAGGCCTGGACTGTTGCGGCCCAGAAGCCGAGGAACCGGCCTGTTGACCCCTCGACGAGGTAGGAGCCGAAGGCGCCTGGGTTGTGCCAGTATTTGAAGCCGATTGTTTCGTGAGAGGGTTGTCCGCCCATGGAGATTATGAAACAGGTTAGGATGAGGGTTACGATTACGAGAAGTTTTACGGCGGACATCCAGAATTCTGCTTCGCCGAAGAAAGAGACGTGTAGGATCTGATGGTTTGTTAGTCTAAAGAGTAATAGTAGTTGTCCGGATACTCGACTTACATTGACAGCAATAATGGCTATGGTGAAGGTTGTCACAAAAATGGCGACATTGAGGTCAGGTCTCCAATATTGTATGATGATGCCTGCTGCAGTGAGGTTGTTGGGGAGGACGATAGCGTATTTTAAGAAATAGTTCCATCCCGTGGCATAACTGTTTCCACGTGTAAGTTAGCTTGTTCCGAACAGAAGTTCGTGTCGACAGTGTGGTTCTGGTCTTACCCCAAAGCCGGATCAACAAAACGTGTAGCGTATCCAGCAAACCCCTTGTCCGAAGGAAGCATCGTCGCCATCTCTCCCACGGCCGTCATGATGAAGAAGACGACCGCTCCGATGAGGGTATACGCGATCAGCAGACTCGCGGGACCGCCCCTGACGAGACCCGTACCAGAGCCGATGATGAGCCCGGTTCCGATAGCGCCGGCGACAGCGATCATAGAGACGTGACGTTCTTTGAACTCCCGCTTGAGTTGTTGTTGTTCGCCTGTCGTCTCTGTGGAGGTCCCTTCGACGTTGGAGGTTGAATGCTTCATGCCAGAAGGCTCTACTACTGTGTCGATGACATCGTTGACGGTTTTGCCATGTTTGCTGTTGATATCATCGCTGCCCATTGTGAAAGCGGTTTTGTCCAAAGGATTCAGAGTATGCTACGGTGTGACTTCTTAATCATAAGCACTTGAAGCAATTGAAACAAATGGAAAAAAAAACCGTGAGTGATTATGATGTTCAATAGTCGGTTCTCGACGCCGGGCAGCAGTTTCTTATAACCTGCGTGCCAACAAGATAAGGGCCAAAGGAACTAGGCGTATTTGCCTTCCGGACTTATCTCGCAAAACATATTCTCGGCTTAGCGATTGTTAAAGTCATGAAGTGTATGGAAGTTATTCTCCGTGATCCAGAGTTATCTTGGAACCTGGGGAACCGATAAGGACTAACACATTGTCCAGATAATCCACAGACTAAGGACGTTTGCGTGGAGCGAAATTGCACCAACATGCGGGGAAAGGGGCCTCTTATCAACGTGCGACCCGCAAATGGAGGTCGAAGTCCGCGCTGCCGGATTGACGATCGTGAATCCTTGGGGTGACCCTGCAACGACATCAGATGATTCGATATTGACCCAACGCATAGGTCACACAGATGACATACTCAGCACTAGCCATAGTCTATCACTCCAGGAAAGACAAGTTTCGGAGGCTGAACGTACGGCTCGGCGGGTGATACTATCAGGATTGCCCCGCACACTTGGCGCTCCGAGATCCTAATCATCCGCCAGGTACTAAAGACGGACTTCAACCTCCATGAGCTAGCTTTGCCAATGATACGTCCATAAACTGATACGCGTCAAGTTCTATAGAGTCATATCGGGCCATCGACCAATCGCCGAAAAATAATTCTGGATAATGGTGCCGATATAGGAACATGAGGATACGATAAAAGCTGGCAGAGTCAGGACGGAGAGCCGAGTCTATCGCTGTACCTCAATCTCATCAAACTTATCTCTTCTCCTATACAACCCATTTAGACTCATCATGTCGCCTAGTGCTGTTCAAGAACATGTGGACGATGTCCCAACCTCGATCAAACCATCCCCTCAACCTCCTTCGGAAGCCGACTTCTCCACCTTCCGGTCTCTAGTCCCTCTTCTGGCTGACAAGAGCCTCACTTACCTCAATGCCTCCTACCAACCCCCCTCAAACCTTATAATCCACGGTGCCATCGCCAAGTTCACTTCCGATGCCCTCTACAACCCTCATCCAAAGCCTCAATGGCAGAACGCTGTCGAAAAGACTCGTGCTTTAGTCGGCAGGTACATCAACGCCGACCCAAGCTCCCTAGCCTTCACCCGTGACACGACAGAGGCACTGGGGTGTTTCATCCGAAGCCTCAAATTCGAGCCTGGCGACAACGTCGTCGTCCTGGACACAGAGCACCCAAACCACGTCTACGGGTGGATGGCTCTCCGTAGAGCCGGCCTCGAGGTTCGACAGGTGCCCACCATCTCGACAGCGGAAGAAACCGGGCACGTCACGGCCGCCAACGCCGCAACATTTGCGCCGTATGTCGACGAGCGTACCAGGGCCATCGGTCTCAGCTCCATCATGTTCCACAGCGGCCAGTGGAACGACGTGGCCGACATCTGCGCAACATACAGACCACGCGGCATTCACGTTCTCGCAGACCTCACGCAGCAGGTCGGCTTCGCAGAAGTGGACGTACGAGCTCTGGGGGTTTCTGCGGCGGCCTTCAGTCTGCACAAAGGCTTGAACTGCCCGACGGGCTTCGCGGTTCTCTACGTCAACCCGGAGTTCATCGCTGACACCAACCCCACTCCGCCTATCGTCGGTTATGGGGCCGTCAGCAACGTGCGCGCTGACTTGTTGGTCCCTTCCGAGGAGGTGATATATCACTCTTCCACTCGCCGATACGAGCATCTGAATTTGAGCCTGATCAGCTCCGCGGCTGCAAAGGCGTTTTTGACGTTTTATCTGGATTCCATGGGTCCCGGGCGTGTGCAGGAGCACCTTTACCGCCTGGGTGATGTGTTGAGAGAGGAGTGCCGAAGTCTCGGGGTGAAGATAGTCGGGCCCTCGGCCCGCAAGGATCATGCGCCTCATTTGTACATTCTGGATTTGCATGACCCGAGGTGGATGGATCTCTTGAAGGAGAGTGGTGTGCTTGTTACGCCCTATCGTCTGGGCATCAGAGTTTCTTTTGGTTTCTACAACAACACCTCAGATGTGAAGAAGCTTGCTGGTGTCCTAAAGGCAGGATTAGAGGCGGGCCTTCCCTTGCCCTGAGGGCTCTCAGAGATAGAGGATGTAGTTCATGACTTGCACTAGAATGACGACACTACATACCGTTGAAACATCCATTGTGTCTAGAAGCGCCAACCCCCCTTGCTAACAGTCTTGGAGCTTGACATATAATTAGTGCAGTATCTTGCCCCTCTATTGAAATGCTCAAATTGGGGAGGGCTATCTCTTAAAGTATGGCATGGTGCTGGACTGCTTTACTCTCTACGCAAGTTAAATGGATGGTGGAAAGTTGCAACAGCATCTCACACCTCGATTCGTGCCAACCTATCTTTCGCCTGGTGGGCCAATGTCCAGGCAGATGAACATTCGTCCAAAACATGCAACAAGTACTGAGCTTCTTCCGGCGTGCCGAATAACGACAGCGTTCTCACCGCTTGCATGACTCCGTAGATCATCATAAGAGGGCTGTGTCCAAGACCATACTGGCTGCGGTATTTCCGTACAATGTGTGCGATGTCTTCCGCAGATGATAAGGAGTCTTTGCGGGCGTTGTCCTTCAGAGCTGCAATGTCATGAGACACCGCTTGCTCGAAATTTAGCGCAATGCGGACGCTGTGAAAGAGCAAACTGATGGTGGAATTAGTTTTCAGCCCCATCTTGCACGATCAAAGCGATAGAAAAGGGGGGGGGGGGGTCAGTGGAATTGAACTAACTGAAGTGCTGCCACGCTTGGGATGAGCAGGGTGCTTGATGGTTCCCATCTGTTCCATTTCGCACAGTCCGGCAATGCTTCATACCAGCTACACAGCTCAAAGTTGAGGCTGTCGAGACACGACTGGCGACCGATACCCTCCAGGCTGCTCTTGGTGGAGAACAACTTTGAAAGCATCTTCTCGATGATCTTGGAAAGCCGGATCTGCTCCTTGAAACACGGGATGAGGGGATTTACGACATCGAACTCCCCGTCATAATCCGAGAACCCAGCAGAGAGCCAGGGCTTCATCTCTGGAAAGTCTCTGATCGGCAGTCAATACATGGTAAGGTGGAAACTCGTAGATATACATCTTGGACCTACGGGAGCCTGTTGGTGGTTTCGACTTCTGCGTCATCGTAGAAAAGATAGACTGATCGTCCAAGGATCAGGCTAATCAACTTATCAGAAGTGTAGCATCCCCAAAAGATGCGTCTGCGAATCTCCAAATCTTCCTCGGTAGCTAGCGATGCATCGTGGGATACCCAATGTTTCGGGTCCCTCTGAAACCCCATGTCTTGTGCCATGCGGAACGCGATACCTAGACCCGCCCATATTCAACATCACGTATCAACGAACTGGGCATCATAAGCAAGGACTTACCCGAAAAGCCCCATCCCTTTGAGAGATTTCCTCTTCCAATCTCGTAGAATGCCAGGCAGAGGAAGCCCTGTACAGTAACGATTGAAGGTTTCGTGAAGCCGGAGACGATGAGTATGCTCTCGGCAGCGGAGAAGAACTGCTCGCTCGCATCTCTGTGGCGCTTGTCTGGTGACATGAGTGTACCCAGGGCACAGATAGACAGGAGTAAAGCCGATGACCAATACTTGCCGTGAACCCGGTCACCAAAGTGGTCCCTCAAGAAGGCTTCTCGGTAAATAAACATGAAGTGCGGGTACTGCCATTTGAAGAACTGCATCAATGCGTCATCTACCAGTTCGTCGTATAAGCTGATTCCGAAATGCTCCGCCACATGCTCAAAATTTGAGTCGGGACCAACAACATAGTTCTCAGAAAGCTCGCGTGAGGGTGAGGCGTTGCCCCGTGCTGGCACCCCGAGATGGGCGCGATAGATACTCGTCGCACCATGGTAGATGAGCGAACCCTCAAGGTCGACCTGAAGGTTCTCGCTGCTGCCTCGAGATGGCTCAGGATTTCTCTCTTCGCTCACGTTCACTACTGAAGCTGGTCCCGGGGCCGAGAGGTGATCCCCGAAGGAGACGGTCTTTAGCAGGCTGTCCCGCTCCGGGCTTGGCGCGGCTTGAAGTTTGCCAATGAACGACTCCAGCCATGCGACTCTGTTCTCTAAGCTGACGACATATTCGTGTGTCGCTGGCCGTCGTTTACGGTCGACCTCTCGATACTCGCAAGTCTGTTGAGCAGTTGCGCAATTCTGGCAGGGCTCCGTGCGTGAGCATTTTAGCTATGAGCGCAGAAGGCCGAGTCAGTGAAGTAACGACTACTCAGGTTGCGAGGGTTCAAGATGCCTTTCGGTATTGGCATCTCTTGCATCTACAGCTAGTGTCAGCAGTCATCTTCACATTGTCTCTCATATAGAGGCTCAGAAACTCACGAGATCTTCTTGGCGGGCTTTGTTGGCATGATGCCCTTATCACGGTCATTTCTTCTTCCGACGATGAGTCCTGGAACTTGGAAGTAAGGCACGGGCGGAGTACTCCGCAGCATAACCTAAACCCGAAGGCTAATGGCGGGAGTAGTGCTCTTGATAGCGCTTAGTCACTACCTTGGGTCGCCAATGGGAGCATGTGTTGCACTGAACCACTTCCCGAACTCCAAAGTAAGGTTCGTGGCATCCAGAACTAAACTAGGGGGCCCCAGCAAAATGGTAAGGGGGGCTAGTTTCGGGGAGCAGTTGTCAACCTTCGTCGGAATACCCCCCCTTTCGCACTCAGCTACCTCTCATTTGCGTCTTCACGATGTCTCGGTATCGGTCTCGCTTTCCATACGATGAAGTCAATTGAAACCGAAGAGGAAATAGAATATAAGAGACCATGGGCGGGACACATGTTCCTCACAAGAGGATGGCCTTCTGCTCCAACTCTCCTCTAAAAGTAATTCTGTTTTCTAGCGACCATCTTCTTACATTCTCTTTGTTCAGTCCCAGCCTGAGCCCGTCATGAAGCGTGTTGAAATCACGGCGCCCGGTGTTGTGTCGTGGGTCGACCACCCGAAGCCCGAAGCTGGCCCTAAGGACGTTCTCCTCAAAATCAAAGCCTGCGGTATCTGCGGCTCAGACAGCCTGTACACCGATCACGGCGGCATCCCGCCCTACCAGGGCTGTACGCCCCTCGGCCACGAACCAGCAGGAGAAGTTGCAGAAATCGGAGCGGGCATTGAGTCACCAGACGTCGAAGTCGGCGACCATGTCGTGGTAGACACAATGGTTTTTCAAGACGGCCTCTTGGGCTCGGGCGGTGCGCAGGGTGCGCTGTGCGAATACGTCGTCATCTACAACTACGAGCCACGGAAGCACCTGAAGAAGATTCCGAAGAGCATACCCTGGCACATTGCGGCACTAAACGAGCCCATGGCGGTCGCCCTGCACGCGGTAAACAGGACGAGCCCGAAACCGGGCTGCAAGGTTGTGGTTTTTGGCGCGGGGCCCATCGGTCTGGGCGCGGTCTTGGGGTATCGCAGAAAGGGGGCGAGCCACATTGTCGTCGTGGACGTGGTCAACGCGAGGCTCGAAAAGGCTCTCAAAGTCGGCGCCGATGCTGTCGTCAACTCAGCTGAAGCTGAAGATCTGGCGGCAAAGTTGGTTGAGTTGCAAGGAGACGGAGCGACGGCACAAAACCGAGGCACTCGCCCTGGTACCGATATCTTTCTGGACGCGGCGGGCGCACCGCCGGTCCCTGCGCAGGTGTGCAAGATGGCGAAGCGAGGCGCCACATTTGGTGTGGTAGGAGTCCACAGAAAGCCAACGGAGTTAAACTTTGCACAGTTGATTTCGACGGAATTGACGATTGTTTTCAGCGTGGGATATCCGACAGAGATTTTCGAGGTCACAGATGATATCGTCGACAACTGGGACAAGTACGCGGAGATCGTCAGTGATCAAATCCCGTTTGACCAGGCGATAGATGCGTTGGAGTTGGCCAAATCAGGCAAAGCGAACAAAGTTGTCGTGGTTTTTGACTGATTTCAGAGAGAGATTCATGAGAAACAGCCATTCAGTTTTTGAATCTGAACAGTCAACACAGGTGCTCGGATGGGTTCTCTGGTAGCTCATCTACAATCCGGTCAACCTGAAGAGCCCATGTCACCAACCTCCACCAACCCCAGACAGTCGAGCAGCCCGCAAGCTTCATGGTCGGGTTGAAATTTCTGAGCCAAGCAGTTGAGATAGGTGGGATCTCGACAGTACTGTAAAGTACATTTTACGACTTCAATTTTCTACAAACGAGAAGCGACATATTTGTTCATAGTTGCGATTTGAGAGAGTATTTAGCGTTCCGTCAAATGACATATAAAATCAATCTATCACTGATATCATCATCTTATAGATTTGAATCAGAATACAGGCCCAGAGATATTCACACAAAACTCAGTTGGTTGATGATATTGAGTGAATTTATACAAATGACACTTAACTAACAAGTTGCTACCCCCATGATCTGCCACCGATCTTTGCGACTCAAATTCTGTTGAGCTTGACAATTCAAAGGCAAAGGCATCCATGGTGATGAGGCGCGGCTTGAATAAGTTGACCCTGAATGAGCTACGAGTAGGAGCCTTAAAGTGCGTGTATATCCTCTGGGTACTATCCCATCGAGTGCTGGATAATGTCACACTGGTTTGCAGATACGTTTTAGTCATAAAAGGTAGTATAACTCGCGTATTAATCTAAGTTATCATGTATCAAAGCCGTGGTATTTCTAAGTGCTGTACCTAATTAAAGGTGCTAAATGGATCAGCACTGGAGAAAACTGAAGAGGTAAATCTTGACTTTATCTAGCACTCGATATGACAGTTCATCAGGTTCAGTTCTTGGCCCAATTACTAACTTCTAGTAATTATGGCGGAAGGTCCTGTGGCCTGCATACGTGGGCTTATCTACAGACTACGACAATGACAGCTTAGCTTTTTGCAGTGATAGTGATTCGTTTTGAGCGAACTGTAAACTTAATCCTATCAGACAACCATCATCTCATCGTTGTTGACCGAGTGTTGATAGTAGCTATAGCAGTAAAACTACTTGCGTGACGCATATCTCTCAACTCCCGTCTGAGCAAACGTCCTACTAAGGCAAAAGTTTTACCACTTCCAAGCGGCGAAAGAGAGAAATCTCTCAAGAGTCACTTTGACTGATATGCCATGGGTTGTAAGATCACCATGAAGAAGCGCGGGTGTCAAGGTTTCCTGAGAAGTACCTGTAGTCATTTCCTCGGTGAAGCTCGTAGACATCAAGAAAGATCTCCTTCCAGACGACATTCTACTTATAGGATTACGATGGGCAAACGTCAGCAATCACTGCACACCGTCTTCTCTAGGAATGGAATCGTGTTCTAGCATTGATGAAAAGCAGCGCGTACACGATTCCGCAACTTCCAGTCTATTAAACTTTCAATTCGCTTGTCTTCGATGGTTAAACTTGATACTTCCTTCAAGTGATGTATCCATTCGACATTGATGAAACAGACTTTTTTTTATCTCAGAAACTCAAATGATCCAGGTCGTACCGAGAAATCTCGTGACATCGTAACTCGGCTTTTGTGGTGACATGCTTGACTGGAGCGACAACAGGCAACTTCAATGTATTCTATCCAGCCCGCATTGAGTCAGGCGATGTTGCTGTTTCTGCTCTATCCGGTTTTCCCAGGTTACCTACTCGATGAACACACTATCCGGGACATCATGAGGAAGCGGACACTGCTAGACGTAGCTTCCAATTTTCTCACTACTTAAACTTATGTCTTGCAAACTGTACTAAGCCTCTACCTCGTACGCGTATGATGATCACGAGATGACGACCAATCTTCTTAACCTTGATGAGCTGGGACTTCCCTGTATTGGTAGACGATGCGCAGATCTCGACGCAGACCTTTCAAGCAATCGGGCTCAATCAAGCCGCCTAAATGGTCAAGAGAACAACTCCATGACCAGCCCAACCAGACGAATATAGATCGTGAAGTTGCGGTCTGGCTTCCGGACAGGTACAAGTCGGATGTCCCCACTCTGAGTCTATTCCTGTCATACCAAATTGAGGCTTTTACGCAATTCTGATTGTTGTATCCAACTTGATTCGCTTTCTTCTCGTTCGCCCGTCTTTTCCAGCGAGGCGAAGCTTCAGTGATGTCTTGGCATATTGCGTGGACCCCATGGAGAGATCAGCAAATAGACGACAATTGTCCGGACAAAGTAGCTCACGGTAGTTTCTTTCGCTGCGATTAAACTTCTAGAAGCCCAAAAGTTCGTTCGATCATAATCAAAGTTTGAAGCTTTTTTGACCTCAAATTTCCATTGGACCTTGTGTCGAATTTTGTTTGTCGGTTGAAATTTCTTTTGACAGAGTGCCAAGATGCAAGCGCATCGTGAGGCCCTAAATTTAGCATCACAGTACCCGCACCTCCTCTCAGCTAGCCCAGACATGGAGACACCGCGAAGTTTTGCAGCCTTTTTGGGAAAACGTAGAGCTACCCCGCTTCGAAGCTGCTTCGACTGTCCCTCTGCGAATAGAATTACCCATGAAGCTGCAAGAAAAGCTGGGGATAGCGTCAAGAGTTGCGTGGATTTGACGAAGGCTGGCGGAGACTAACATCCAGTGAACAATCCGCATCCCAAGACAAAAAAAAGCCTCTGTTAGTGGTCAAATTTTTGCGCCGATGCTGATCCCAGTGGCAGGACGCGGTGTCGATCATCCGCAGCCCAGCGTCATTTGAGGGCACTGAGTGGTAAGCTGATATATCTGACAGGGAACACCCCCTTCAAGCTTTGAGAACATGACTGGACGAACCGTAAACAACAAAGTACTGGACTGACTATGTACAAGGCTCTCCCTCTCCGGCACTATGCGCCAAGTAGAGATGTGAAACAGGACAGCTCATCTTCGGATCTTTTTCTTGGGATCCTTGGGTAGCGTTAGGTCGGTGATCCAGTCGGAAAGAAACCCTTACGGAACGCCTGTCGGAATGCATGTTTTCTATGGTTGCCGGAGCCTGGGAGGCGGGCTGGTGCGTGTCGCCGTGGCTCTGCTGTGCTTGGCGGGGATGTGCCGGCGGCGAGTTTTCTGATCTTAAATTTTTACGTACGGTTTGTAGCGATTACTTTACCTCTCTGCAAGTAACCAAAGTACATTAAATTGGCGATAATCAAAATAACGAAGATTTAGTCGACGGGGCAATGGGTCTTGGCAAGATCCACGGCTGCTAGCTTCTGGAAGAGGCGAGATGTCCAAGTTCAGTGATGGATCTTGCTTCGCATGCCTCATATCGAGAAGGCTAAGCATACGCGTAGACAGCCATGTTCTTCACCTTGGCAAATGGTACTCTATGTGCTAACGAGAGGCACAAAAGTAACGCAACTGTCTTGCACCCGTGATACGCATTTACCTCTGGCATTTTGTTGGTTGGTTATTATAGCGCCACTTCAGGTGTTTGGGGCTGCTCGCCCGGCTGTCGGCCGGCATTGACCTTGCCTAAGCGGTCATGTCCGTAATTATTATGCTGTCAGTTGTAGCACGCGACACTTATCCGTCTTAGAGTCGGCAAATTGTGACTGTTCACCTGCTCACAAGGGGCCCTAGTCGTATCATATTAAGCTTTCCTGGGGATTCGGGGACGGCGGAGGTAGAACAAAGATGATATAGGGCTCTAACGGAGAGCAATCTGACAACCAACAAGCACCGAAAGGCCCCCAAGCAACACTTGCCGAGAGCTCAACTTTAGGTAATTAGCGCGTGTTCAATTTAGACTTGTTCAGTGGGTTTTAGCAAATCGGTCACACAACGAGAAACTACCGTCGAATAATGCCCGGGATGTTGAGTCGTCAATTGAGGCTGGGGCAGCTAGGGGGCTTCTTGGCTTCCCTCATCGAAATCCACTTTCGAATAGCGGCAAACTGAGTGGAAGCTGCGGAGATGGAGAACTGCCAGCGCCAAGGGACCAACCAAGACCCAAGCCTCTGAGTGACGATGCGCGGTCGCTGCCCGAGACACGGTCATGCTCTTCGTACGTGGTCTGTCTGTCTATTCTGCCGTTGATCGACTCTGAGTTGTTGATCCATGGATCCTCGCCCCTGGGAGGAGAGTCATTCGCCGAAACATGAGTATATATCCGGCATCATCCTGCTCTACATCCTGGATTCACATCAGCACTCCGACACCATCAACAATTTCAACATCAACTCATTGTGACATATTTTAACCAGTTCCAACCTGAAATCGACTTTAGTCACCCAGAAAATAATTACAACGGCCATAATGCACTTCAACCGCGTCGCCCTGTCCCTTGCTGCCGTCGCCTTCGTCCAGGCCGACCTCCAGCTCGACAACGATGATATTCCCACCCAGTGCCAGGCGGTCTGCCGTCCCATCTACGACCTCGGCCAAGCCTGCGAGGTGAATGACGACCTGGTCAGAGATGACCTGACCGAGGACCGTCTTGAGGCCCAGTGCGTCTGCACAAACAACAGCATCAACGTCTCCCAGTATGCCGCACTCTGCGCAAGCTGCATGGACCAGAACGTCCGTGACCGAGATGACCTAGATGGTAAGCAGATGAACCACAACACATCATCATTCAATCTCGTTTTATACTGACACACATCGACCTAGATATCAACGACATCCTGAGAACCTGCGGGTTCGCCAGCACCTCCTACGCCTCGACCGCATCCTACGCGTCTACAACCCCGTCCGTCTCAGCGGCCCGCCCCACTGCCTCGGCCCAACTCACCACAACCATCACCCCCGGCGCTGTCGGCGGCGGATCCTCTTCCCCGACTCAGACCTCCGCATCCGGGTCCGGCAGCAACAGCGGCGGCAGCAGTACCACCCCGACCACGGCGGGCGGTCAGACTTCCCAGACCCCCAATGCTGCGGGTGTTGTGTCGCCTCAAGGTCTCGGCCTGATTGGTGCCGTTGCCGTTGGCGCTCTCTTCTTGTAAATTTGGGGATGGGGGGTTCTTGACGAATAATCTGGCTTTTTACGAACATAACATCCAACAGGGTATGAAATCTGTGTTTATGGATTTGGATTGCATATTTTAGGCGCTATGGAACATATACCTTAGCATTTACTGTCGTTTCAATTATCTCCTTTCGAGGAGTCTGGTTCCTCTCAAGGGATATAATCTCTAAGGCTTATCAGAAAGCATTGTCGATCCCTACAATCTTTTGAGCACGCCAGCTGCATAATTAACTTTGTTTCGGATCGCATATGTGAAAACTCTCAGGCCCGCTGCCGTGATGTTCATCGGTTTTTGCTCGACTTGAGATCCGCTTTGACTCGGCATGGTGTAGAGATCGATTCACAAAAGGGCTCAATGCTAGCGAAGTGGACGCAGTAATCATTTCTGATTCCCTCATTCTTACATCTAAGAATAAGATACTTCGCACAGATTGGGACATTCCCGGTGAATTTATATCCTGATCAGCTATTACCTGCAATCCCCGTAGCATGATGCGGTGTATGTCGATCAGATTACGGGTTGAATTGAGCTGCCGTGTCGGAAAGATTTGATGTTGGTAAGATCCGTCTGCATTTGCCCCTATCGTGCATTATCCATTTGAATACGGTACCTCGAATTTCGCCTTGATGGTGCTGATGTTGCCAAGCGTCGAATTTCAGTGCAGAACTGATCGATAATCCTACGCCCAAAGAGCTTATATCTCCCCCTCATTCGTCTGAAATTATCAGCTACGGGTTAATCCTGATCGTCTACCGACTATCTGAACTTACATCTGGAGCATCTTCAATTTCGGGCAGCATCTTCTCGCTGCCAATGCAGAGCCAAGAATCAAACGGGCCACGGTAATTAACAGCTAACGGTTCGTAAACCAGATTGTCCAACAAGCAAAGGTCTTTCGATCTAGGGCCTGCTTTGACGTAGACGGCATACTTGCACTCTTTGCCGTTCGAGAGAGGCTGCTGACACCTATCCTGGCACTCGTAGACACCCTTGAGAATTTCGGCCTGGTTGTTCAGCGTGCGCTTTTCGATCTCGATCCTGTCGACGTAGCTATCGTACCAGCATCGTGCCTGGCCTCGGGCCCTCGGGATGCGGTTGAATCGAGCAAATACTGTCGGTTCCGGGGCGTATGTTGTACATGAGAGGGTTACGTTGGGCTTTACACCAGGAATCTCGGTGGGCGTTACTGTTGCGCACCAGGTCGTGGTGGGAAACACCTTCTGGGTGGGATTGGGCCCGAGGGGTGTGTAAGGGAGCGGGTCAACGGGAATTTGGGCCATGCAGGCGAGAGGCAGGAGCCAGTACATAATTGCCCACTTCATTTTTGCTGTTATGTCTCCGGTAATTTGTACCTGGGATCTTTGTCGGGGTTGTGTTTTTGCGGAGGAGGTATCAGGCGCGCGTAGGGGAACGAAGATGTCGAAGGTAAGATAGGAAGGGTGCTTGGCATCAAGCAGTAGAATAGGCTGCTTCTCAACTTACCTGTGCAATACCTCGATGGCCGAAATAAAGTCTGACTCGACTTCCTGCGGCCTGTAAGGCTGGGCAAGATTGCGGGAGACGAGCAGTCCATCGATATTGAGCGCGCCGAACTAAGAGCGGTCGCTGAATGGCCTGCACTTTGTCTAAATTCCGAGTCTCCAGGGAACACGATGGTGTCGTGACTCCCAGCCATAGTGATAGACCATAGGTGGATTTGTATCCTTCTGCTCAGATAACAATTAGATAACAAGTGTGTGCTCTCACAAGACAGTATTCAAGGCTATGTAGTTGAGATTTGACGTTTCGAGCGCTACTTGGTCAGGTGCGTCGGTATCTACTTGACATCATATGAACGTGGATTGAATACATCGACGTACCACAGTATCTAATCGTGAACAGCCAAGTTCAAAACCACCAGCGCTGACAAATTACACGACGTTTATCCCAAATCGCACGTCATAGGCTCACATAGAATTAGCTGGAGCGGGGTCACTCATCTCACCTTAGATGGCCCCTCTTCCAAAGTCTCAAGTTGAGGCCACAACTCTCGCGCCTCAAACCAAAAGACCAAGATCTTTCAGAATATCTCCGAACCATATCCTTTGAATGAAGCTAGAGATCAAGTAAACATGGTCAATCTTCCACATCCATTCAGCGAGATCCCTCGTCTCCAGTTGACTTATGACCGGCCGGTAGACATTGAACAGCTGCACCGACTACCTGGGCAGGAGGGGACCAAGGACGGGGCCATCTATATCGCCCGTGATGACTGTAACTCTGGTCTGGCGTTCGGAGGCAACAAGGTGCGAAAATTAGAATACGTCTTGGCGGACGCTGTCGATCAAGGTGCGGATACAATAGTCACGACGGGCGGGACCCAGTCGAACCACATGCGCCAGACCGCTGCGGCTGCGGCAAAGCTAGGTTTGAAAGTGAGTCTATGCCTCTTGCATAGAGGTCGTAATTACCCGTCTTCAAATGGCGCAGGTCTCCTCTGACAGATAGATAGGTCGCTCTCTTCCCCGTTACTGCCGTTTCGTCAGAGGACCCGGAGTACAAGTACGCAGGAAACATCCAGCTCAACTCCATTCTCGGTGCCGAGACCTTCCCGCCAAACACGAGCAAAGAAGACGCCGTCACCGCCCTTGAGAGTCGCGGGCAGAAGCCATACGTGATCCCAGCGGGCGCAAGCACACACCCCCTCGGCGGCCTAGGCTACGCAAGATGGGCCTTTGAGCTTCTCGAGTGGGAAGACAAATATGGCACAAATATCAGGAACATAGTAGTCGCGGTCGGCTCCGGATCGACCCTGGGCGGCCTTGTCGCCGGCTTCAAGCTCGCGCAGCAGGTCGGCCGTGACGGTGCGCGGAAGCGACTAGTCGGATACTCGATCCTGAGGAAGGCCGAGGACGACGTCGCACAGATGGTGCTGGATATTGCGAGGACCACAGCGGAGAAGGTTGGGCTGGATCCCAAGTTGATCACGAGAAACGACTTTGAGATCGATTACGAGTACCTTGGAGGCTCGTACGGCCACCTTGATGAGCGAACGACGGAGGGCATCAAGACATTGGCTCGGACGGAGGGGATCCTGACGGATCCGGTTTATACTGGCAAGGCATTTACTGGTTTGCTGCATACTGCCAAGGCGGGAGGGTTTAATGGAAAGGCGACGCTGTTTTTGCATACTGGCGGACAGGCAGCTCTGAGTGCGTACCCGAAGCTGACGCAGTAATATCCCGTGCTCCTATGCTGGTGTTAGAACATCAAAGAGTGCAAGTGAGGCTAGAGTTGATGGATCTTTTGGAAAGACTTTTCAATATTCTAAGTGGTATCTTTAGACAAAGAAAAAACATGCATGTACATCCTCGCTCATTCAAGGCATTTAACTCACTCAACCTCTCTCCATCTCTTCTCCAACGTCCCAATAACATGCGTCCGCGATCCCGACCCATACTCCGCCATGATCAAGTTGGCCTGCTTGCTGTACGAGGCCCCCTGAGCCTCAAAGTGGTTCGAGAAACCGAATCCAACGCTGGGCACACTATACACCCCCTGACTCGGCATCACAACCTCCTTCGCCTGTCCCATAGCCCGGCTCGTCGAGCTTGCAACATTCAACACGCGCTGCTGCCCCAACGCCATCTGCGCCTCCATAATCATCTGCCGGATCGTAGGTACCGTCTCGACATAGACGGCCCGACGGGCCTTAGACACCCGGAGCAGTTCCGATGGGTCGTTACGGGCACAAGCCTGGGCGTAGAGGTTGCGCATGCGCGGGCTGTACATCTCGCACATGAGGCTCGCGGCCACGGTGACGCCCTTGAGCGGCATGGCGGCCGCCAGTGTAGTGCCGCGGATGGACTCGTGGTAACACGACGGGCAAATTGTGCAGTCTTGCCATCCGTACCACCGCCTGTCACGGAAATCCTCGTCGCGCGGGCAGAGAGGCAGGCTGGCGAACTCGAGGGCGTAGGACTCAAGCGGCTGGGTGTCGGCTGTGAAGTGGCCCTCGAGAAGCTTCGTCATGTAAGGGGCGAAGCGCGGGTTCGCGGGGTTAAAGCAGCACAGAAGTGTCGTGCCGGATGACACGCCGCACTTTGGCACGAGAGAAGAGCTTAGGCCGAGGGGTTCGGCGACGTTGGCCACGCAGGTGGCGCAGATGCCGAACTCGGCTGGGTGGGAGGGGAACGTGTACCACGTCCCGTCTGTGATGCCCTGCGGGCTGCAAAACTCCTCATTGCAGGCGGCGTCGAGGGCTTTCCAGAAGATGGAGTACTGCTTGGCCTCGGTGGCGCAGGACATTGCGATGCCAATGTTGAAGTGGCCCAGCGCGCAGTAGACGAGACTGCCGTATCGTGAGGCGAGGTTCGTGCCGGCGTCGCACCATTTTCCTTCCTCGCCGGTGCCGGCTACGAAGTCGCAGTAGCAAGCGGCGCAGACGAGGACGCCGTCGTGGCCCGCGGCCGTGGGCGTGAACCACTTGCGGGAGGTGACGGTAACCTTTTGGCGTTTGGCACAAGGGGGGAGGTTCATCCTAGCGAGGGCTTCCTTGGTGAAGCCGAGCCAGTCGTCCTTGACGGCCGCCTCTTTGTAAATGTTCTGGATGTAACGGGTGGAGAGGTCGCAGGACCAGACATCGTTGGTGGCTTGTCCCGTGGCCTGCTCAAAATTGGCCGCGAAGCGGTACGGCTGGATATGGTCCTCGAAGCAGGCCTGGCAGACAACCATGTTTGGTACGGCATTGTTCTTCGGACGATACCATTTGGCGCCTTCGCTTCCCTTGGCTCCATCGGCGCCCCTACAATCCGGAACAGCGCTCCTGTGGAGGAGGAAGGTGACGAGGTCCTCGATGCGTCCCGTGGCGAGGGTGTTGCGGAGAAGATGGTCCCTGACGCGGGGCTTGCTGAAGCGGCAGACCCGCGGCTTGTTATCATCGCAGATCTTGCCCCTGAAATCGTGCTCGAAGCGGGTGCCGACGAGATGGTCCTCGTAGCACTTTGAGCAGATTGAGAAGTCTGGCGCAGTAGGGTGCGCATACCACGTCGTGCAAAAGGTGACGGGGCTATCGATACAGGCGACGACGCCGCGTCCTCGCTTCCTGCTGGGCGGACTGGCTCTTCGAGAGTTGGCGCGCGGTCTAGTGGGCGACATTGTGAGTTCCTTCTTTGACTGCTGCTTTTGCGCTGGTGGTCCTCGAGGGGTGAGATCCAACGGCGTCACGGGCTCAGGGGTCGGGTTCGTGGAGGGAGGCGTGAAGCACGATGTGGTGGTGCTGGCGGTGAAGTCTGGCGTGGCGAGCTCGTCGCGAGGGGTCGACGGGGCGGAGTAGATAGTAGACAGCATTGGCGAGGGCGCGAAGCGCAGGTTCTGAAGCGTCTCTTCGAGGTTGTCAAAGTCGATCACGCCAGGCCGCGGTTCAGGTGCCCCAGTCCTCTTCGCATTTTCGGGTGGTGTCAGGACTCCATTGGCCGCACTAGGCGGGATACTAGCTGCGGCCGCCTTGATTTGTGCTGATGATAGTTGTTGCTGTTGTTGCTGACCTGCACCCGCTGGGAAGTAACCAGTGGGCTCCCTCTGTGGCGGTGTCGGCGGAGGTGGAGGAAAGCTAGTGAGGGCGCCGGGTCCCGGGCTGCGGAGGTCGGCGACACGGCCGAGGCCAGATAAGGGAGCTTTCGGGGGAGCCGAAGGGCCGTTGGCGCCGGCTTTTGGTACTGGACTTGCGGGTGGCGGAACGTTGAAGCTGGTGTAAGAGGGAGGGCTTGGGTTCCCCGTCCACTGCTGCACCGGTGGCTGAAGCTTGTGAGAAGAAACAGGACGAACGGGCTTCGGTGCAGCGATAGGAGTTGTCTGCCTCGCGGACTTGGAAGCCGGAGCTGGCGCCGGAGCCGGAGCTTTAGTTCCCTTGCTCTTGGAGGCCGAGCTGGATACCTTCTCGGTCTGGGGCCGCGAGCCCCGGGCCGGCTGCGGCGGGGCCTGTCGATGGGTCATACTGTAGTCCACGGGCCAAAATGATAATCAAAATGAAATCCCCACTGCAGCTGAAAGAAAAAAACTTGACGATGGCTTCACGCTTCTTTTGGTCTGGTTCGGGAGCGGGATGGGACGGTAAGGACAGGCCTTTTGAGAAAATTTCCCAAAGAAAACAGCAAGAACGCAGCGAATATAAGAGCAGACAAGGAAAGGTCTTGCGGGAGTCATGCAACAGTGGCCACTCGCTCTGGGACGACGTGCATGTTTAAAGGAAGCTTCCAAAGGGAGGAAGACTTGATTGGCATCAACACTTCATCTCAAGAGAGCGGCGTCGAGTTGGTGCCCGATGAACGGAATGCCGGGATGTTCGTGGAGATGATCCACACCACCTCATGCCCGACTTGCAGCGATCGCCCTGGGACTGGGGGCTGGAGACCTCGGAGAGGACACCAAGAGAGCAGAGGGCTTCCTTGACAGTTTCTCGTCATGTTCACTAGTAGACCCGTTCCGACCTCGTCTTCATTTCCCAATGGCAACGGGAACCTGTTTACTGTTAGTGTTACGGAGACTCGAACAGCCGAGGACAAACACAAGGCTTTCAGCTCTCAGGCGTCAGTGGCAGAGCGGTTCAGCCATAATTAGAGGAAGAAGAATTCTTGGCTGCATTCCAGGGCTTCCAAAGCTCGGAGATTTTTTTTCTTCTGGCAATGGCCTTCTTTC